CCTCTCTTTATTAACTTACTATTAAAATATACTTAGATACACTAATAGAATATCTTCTTATAATTTAATAAAGCGTAGTAACTATAGACTATAATCTTAATAAAAGAGTCTTTAGAGAAGAGGTTAATCTTACTAACTAGTTTAGCTCTAAAGTAGTATAATAAGATAAGAGCCTTAAGATTAGAGTTAAATACTTAGTACGCAGAATTATTATCTAGATAAAAGAACTTAGTAACTATTATCTCTAGATTAGCTATATAAAAGCTACTCTTTATATTAACTTATATATCTAACTAAAAGCTCTTCTAGTTAGTATATAGAATAGAGAGAGTTAGGCTAAGTATACGCCTAATACTTTAGAGATTATAGAGAATTTCTTATAGCTTCTTAGTAAAGAGAAGACTAATAGTAAAGAACTTCTAAGTCTTAACTAATAAGGCTAAAGATATTAGAATAATATTTAGGCAGAAGGCTCTAGAGAAGAGAAGAGACTTACGCTAGTTAATATACTATTTATAGCTAGAGTTAGAACTATTATACTTATATAGTAGAACTATAATTATACCTTACTTTCTATTCTTAATAGCTTTAGTTAGAGAGAGAATAGAAACGCGTATAAACTTATTCTAGCTCTTCTTTTTATTAGAAGAATAAGAAGTAGGCTTCTAAAAAAGCTTTATACTTAACTTAGAAGGTAAATTAAGCTAAGAAAAGCTAAAAGAGTTAATATTATAAATAGAAGAGAGTAGTATAGTAGTATTAGGCGCGTTAGTTATAATAGTATTAGCTAGCTTAAGCCTAGCGCTAGTCTTAGCTCTAATTAGAGGCTTAACCTTAGATAAAGTAGGTAAAGTAGAATTAGCTAATAACTACTTAGGCTCGCAAGAAGGTTAAAGTAATAGTATAGTACTATTACTAGTATTTATAGCTATAAGCTAAGCAGTAATAGATATAGAACTATTAATAACTTTAGGCTTAGTAGTTACCTAAGTAGTAGATACTTACTTAGTAATAGTAAGAGCTTATAAAGTAATAGTAACAGCCTACTTATTAAAAGTAGACTTAATAATAGGCGTAGTAGCTAATTTACTTTTAGAGCGCGCTAGTAAAGTTATTATAGAGAGTAACTAAAGTAGATAAAGTTAGGTAAAAGTAGAGAAGAAGAAAAGAATAAAGTAGAGAAAGAATAGTAGAAAGTAATAAGCGTAAGAGTAGAGTTAAAGCTAGTAAATATAATATATAAGAGAAAAAGTTATAATATTATTATTTTAATAGTCTAGTTACTAAGCGCTAAAAGGCTCTTAAGTAAAAAAGTAGAGCTACTAGCGTATAAAGCCTAATAGTAGTATAGTATATATAAACCTCTAAAATACTCTATAAATACTTTAGTAATATAATAGAGATAGTAGACTAGCTATTAGAGAAAAAGTTAATATTATAGAAAGTTAAGAGCTTAATAGGTAGCTACTATAAAAAAATAAAGATTAAATTTAAGAAAGATATAAGTTTAAACCTAAGAAATTTTTAGCTACTAATATTAAAAGTAGTTAAAATAAGTAATAGAAGATACTAAAGAAGCTAAGAAATAGGCTACAAGTAGGTAGAAGAGATTAAATTAGACTAAAAGAAGATTAGAAAAAGTATACTAGAGTAGAAAGAGGCTAAAGAGATTTTATATTTAGATTTCTAGATAGAAGTTTAGCGTATAGTATATTTAGAGTAAGTAAATAGAACTTAGTAATATAATAGGTAGAAGAAGATATCTAAGAGCTATTCTCTTTCTTAGACTTAAGAAAAAGAGAAGGCCTTCTTCTTAAGTATAGAAGAGATATAGTAGTAAAACTAGTAATATAATAAGAGGCTAAATAGCTATTAGGCTTAAGAGTTAGTACGCTAGAGGAAGCTAGGTCTAAATAGTGTTTAGACAAGAATATATACATACATACATATATAATATAATTAATTTATATTAAGTACTTATTCTAATAGAGATACTACTAATCTCTCTACTATAGTAGTAGCTTTACTTATAAAATATTCTATATCTAATTTATTAGCAAACTAATTCTATAGCGCAAACTAGTCTAAAAAGAGTAAGGTCTATTACTAGTATACAAAAAGACGTATTTCTAAAAAAGTTAAAATTCTACGTTTAAAGGTGTAGGCGTTAGGTAGGCTAAAGCTTAGGTTCTTAGCGCTGCTACCTCTAGCGTAGTTAAAGCTTTTAAAATTTAGAGTAGTAAGGTAACTATTCTATAAATACTAATGTCTACCTATACTATAGTAGAGAGAATTACAATATAATTATATATTCTTAATAGCTTATAACTAACTAAGCTATAGATTATAAAGTAATAAAATGCTAAAATCTTAGCTTACAAAATTATGCTTCTATATATATACTCTCTATTCTCTACCTTTATTCTTATTCTATAGCTTATAGTAAAATTATAGATCTAAAGACTTATTAAAAACGTAAATAGTAGCTTAAATCTAATACTAAAAGACTAAATAAGCTCTTAACTACGTCGCTAACACCTCTTTTATAGGTTCTTCTAGCGTTAGCAAGTTTAAAGCTAATCTTATTACTAGTTGTATTACCTCTATTAATTACATTCTTATACTATATTACTTATTAAAGCTTCTATAAACTGCTCTAAGACTACTACTAAAAAGAAAGCTCTTAGTTAGGCTATTCTAGTAATTATTATATAGACTATTATTAAGGCTATTATAGAGGCTATTATTAGAGCTCTTAAGGCCTACCTTACTTATCTTATATTGCGTTCTAAGACTACTAAGACTATTACTACTATTAATACTATTAATACTATTAAGATTATTATACTACTACTGCAAAAGCTTTTAATATATAAACTAAGACTTTCTATAGTTCTTTATTATAGCTAAGTCTTTAAGTAACTTACTAGTAATATATAGAAGTTCTTTTATAGGCTATACCTACTCTAAAGAGAGTAATAGAATAGTTATTATATTACTAGTGTTACTCTTTCTACCTAGAGTAATTTATTAATTATCTACGCTATCTATACCTATAACTTTATATATAAGCTTAGGCTATAGACAGCTTTACCTATAGAGATAAAGGTAGCTATTATATACTAGCGTAAGGCGTTTATTAGAATTCTTAGCTAGAGTAGTAATAAATAAACTAAAAAGAATAAGGTGTTTAAGGCCTACCTTTAGTATAATAATACTATTAAATAGATAGTAGCTATATTAGTGTTTTACTATTATAGTCGCTCTTAAAAACTAAAAGAGTAGTTATCTTTATTAGCTTAAGTTGTGTTATATTAATAGCTAAAGATTAAATGTAGTAAGGCGTTAAAAAGTTTCTCTTCTTAGTAAGGCCTTAAAAGCAATGTATTATTAGTTAGAAGCCTTAGTACTAATAGTAATATACACTAAATATATTAAAATCTTAAAATCTTCTAGCAGTTCTAGAACAACTTTAAAAGCTAAGCGTCTTTTAATGTCTTTTTACTAAATAGAGTCTGCAAAATTAGGTATAAGGCACTAATATTCTATATCTAAAGTACTATAGTATATACTATACTACTTATAAAATAGTAACTTGTTTAAGCTTATAACTTTTTTAGAATATTAATAACTTTATTTAAAAAAACTCTTTTCTAACTAATTTATAAGTTTTTTATTTATATAGAAACTTATAAATAATTAAACAATTATTTTGTCTCTACTTCTACTGCATCTATTCCAGCTCAAGATGACCTCAACATCGGAGTATCAGGCACAACATCGGAGTATCAGGCACAACATCGGAGTATCAGGCAGTGCCATTTTTAACGTGGGCTTTAATGTACTGCGTTGTAGAAGCCGTATAGGCATTGACTTCATTTTGCATGTTGGAATGGCGTATGAAAGCATTGATATTTCTTCTCCAGAATGACGAAGCCTGAATCGTAAGGGGCTCATCTGCAACGTCGGTACTCAAAAGCAACGTACACCATGTCGCGGATCGTATCGAAGCGTTCCGATGAACCCAAAATGCGTCAGAATCTAGACCCTTCATCGGTTTACAATTCTTATTGTAGGGCTGTTGATCAGATGTAGTACCACCTTTCTACGCTCTTATTCAGTTCATATGGGTCGAGATCCCTACTACAGCTCTCTTACTATCGCGGCATGCTGTAGATGTTGTTTTGAATTGACAAACATTGGCCAAATTATAGGCCGACGCGATGAACCAGATCGTGGGCTCGCTTCAAACATCCTGGGGAGATCGTAGCGCGTAGCGGGGACATGCAAAATGACCTCATGGCCGCAAGCAGCCTAGTGCATATCACTGTCAAATCTCAATCTCGATATCAGCCATTGGCAAACAGCTTGCTGACACGTCCTACTCATATCACGCCACGCGTTCCTACGTGACTTGCTATGACTGCGCCGCCCAGTCACGATGATTGCGCGGGCAGGTGCTACCAAGTGACAACCCGAGGTCATGGAAGAGACCTTCCGGAGGGGCATGTCTCCCCACTCTCGGTCCACCATCGACGCCGGCCTGGGAAGACCCATGCTACTCGACTGCGCCAACGCTTCGCGACCGGAAAATATCGCAAGAACCATGGTATGCCACCCACTGACAGCCGGAGTCGCTCCATCGTCATAATTCATCTTGGTGCGACGGCTGTCGCGCATCCTGTCCTTTCGGCCTGAGGCGCGCGTGTCAGCCCAACCTCACACTTCATCGTCTACGTCTATAGAGTCGATAGTCGCATCGAATCCTACAGTCTCTCGCATCCTTATCATACCCCTGTTTTCCTTGCAGCCCGCATCTCGCCTGTGACAGTGGCCCACCACAAATCACTCCTTTAGCCCGTTCCGTGCCAGTCCGTCAGCGCCAACGCAATCCAGGCGGTTGCAGCAGTTCCCCAGCCACATTGCATACAGAGTTTTGATCATCCTCTGGCGCAAGTCGCGTTCTCGTCACCTCATGGTCGCATAACCCACCGCCCACTATGGCGCCCTCCAAGGCTAAGGACCTGGACCGTCCAAGTGCTAGCGAGCGCATACATTCTGGCCTGGAGAACATCCTGCCAGCGAGCTTCATCGATATGCAAAAGTGCGCTGGCGACTTCCCCAAGGAGAACAAGTCACATCTATCTCCACACTCTCGGCCGTCTGCGACCCCACTCTCCAGTTTGTCGCGTTCCGTATCGTCCATGACAGACAGCTTCATGCTAGAACACTGGGGTCCCTCTTCTTCAAAGTCTACGCGACCTGAACACGATGCCAGAGACAGCGCAGAGGCCCCACCCAAGGGCGAGGACGCGCCCACTGTCATATCAAACTGGGCGCATCTTTCCTACATTAAAGCCCAGCGTAATACGCTCCGCGCTGAACTCAAAGCACACCAGGTCGCAGGGGCTGAAGCGAAGCGGTCGGTGACATCACTGCGGCGTCTTGCTTTTCGCATGGCCGTAAACATATCGGTCAAGGAGAAGCAGATTGCAACTACTGCAAGGAATCTGGCCAAAAGTAGGACAAGCCACTATGTGGAGGGCAAGGATGCACAGAAGAGAGTGGAGGAGTTGAAGAGGGCGCTGCGGGTTGAAGAAGGCCGGAACAAGGAGATCCTTGAGGCACTGGAGCGGGCCTCCATGCTGACACTTCAATGTGAGTTTATCAAGTCGGGATTTTACCACTGCTGATTGATTGTACAGACTCTTCTCCGAACTCTGAACCTCAACACAAACCCAAAGGTCTCTTCATCTCACCACCCCCATCTCCACCGATGCGGTCAAGCGTCGTCGATAGCCCCGCTCTCGCACCGAGGACTCCAACGCGTTCGTCGCCATCGCCATGGCACGACCTAGATCTCGAGCTGACCCCTCGACTGTCAAGCCCTTCCGAGATACGTACCTCCGACAGCCGTCTGATACGAGCGAAACGAGAGTCAGATCAAGCTCTTGCTGCTTGTCGAAGCCGCATAGAGCAGCTACAACGTGAATGTGCAGCAACCAAGGAAGATGGAAAGCTTCTGGAAGCCACACGTGAGGGCCTGGAACAGGAGATTCACAGCCATCAGTCTCGGATTGCTGCTCTAGAACGCTCGAGGTCTACAGTACAAGAGACGCTGGAGTCAACTAAGGCGCAGTTGACCATCACATCAGGTGCCGAGGAGACGCTGAAGCAGGAGCTGAAGGCCAAATGTGATGAGATCGCAGATTGGGAGCAGAAGAATGGAACTATGCATCATACGATCGAAGCGCTACAAAAGGACAAAGTCGACCTAAATAACCGTCTAGACGAACGAAATGCCGAGATTAGGAAGCTCGAGATCCGTACAGCCACTCTTGAGGAAACTCTACACTCTTTACGCAACAAGGTCGAGACCGCTGACCGGTACGAATCATCTCTACAGGACCGCCTTGCCGAAAAGGAGAGTACATGCCAGGATCTGCAAAAGCGACTTGACCGCGGACAGGAGCACGTCTCACGTCTAGAGCAAAAGATCACCAGTTACGAGAAAGATGCGGCTGAACACTTGCGGAAGATTGAGATCGGTGGGAGTGTCATCCTTACGCTGCGTGAGCAACTACAAGAGTCGCAATTGTCAAGCAAGAACACCGGAGACGCCCTGACAGCTTTGAAAGAGGAGCTGGAACAGCTCAAGACTAAGTTGGAGGCTGCGAGCGATGCCAGTCGAGCGCTGTCTGCAGAGCTTGAGACTACCCGGACCGAGAAAGCCAACACGCAGAAGGAGTTGCACGCTGCCCAAGAGAGCCTCGAACGCGAGGTTAAGTCGAAAACCGACCTTCAAGCGGAGCTGGATACTCTACGCACCTCTCACGACGCCATTGAGGAAGACTTACTACAAGCTCAACAGCGCAACCAGTCTTTGGAGGCGACCGATGCCAAGAGTCAGGCACAGCTAGAGACACTCCGTGATGAGAAGGCGGCACTCGAAGCCGATTTGAAAGACTCCCGACAGCTTTTGTTCAGACTACGTGAGGATGTACGGATGAGAGACGCCGAGCTTTCCGACCTGCAGTCTGTCAAGTTGAAGCTTGAAAAGAAGCGCCAAATATCAGAAGAGCGCGTGTCGAATTTAGAGCAAGAACTACATCAGGTGGAGGCGTCAAAGCAAGCTGCCGATGAGCAGCATGCGCAAGAAATCCAGAAGAATGCCGAACACCTTCGCGAACTGGAGGCATCCATGGTCAGCCTTCGCACTGTGCTTGACTCGTCAGAGAAGCTTGAGGCTTCCTTACGTGGAGAGCTGGATCGCGCGCGCAGTTCCAAGGATGCTGTTGAGAACGAGCTCGAACAGGCACTTCGATCAAAGACGGATCTTGAAAGTCAGGTCGAGCACATCCAATCACGACTCACATGGACTGAAGGCGATCGCGACAGCTTGCAGACCAAGATTACCCAACTTGAGAACGACTTGCGTACTAGCTCACAGGCTAAGAGTGGACTTGATGCGCGACTCTCTGCTACGACAAATGAGAGTGACTCGCTCAAGGTTCTTATCTCGGAACTGGAGGCTGCGCTTACAGACAGCACTGATGCGAAGACGAAAGCTGAAGAAGCATTGTCGATTGCACAGCTGGATGGCGAGACGTCTAGCAAAGACTTGGCGGACCTTCGTGAGAAGCTTGAACAAGTTGAATCTGCTAGGGATAGTGTGCAGCAGGAGCTGAGCGACGCGACTCGCTCCAACACAGATTTTGAGGCCCAGCTTAGTGCAGCGAAAGATCGCTTGACTAAGGCGGAGGAAGCGTTATCAGCAGCACAGCTTGACGGCGAAGCATCTAGCAAGGGCCTCATGGATGTTCGTGGGCAACTCGAAGAGGTGGCAGCAGCTAGAAAGGGTTTGCAACAGGAGCTCAACGTTGTGATCGGCTCCAACAAGGACCTGGAGACTCAGCTCGGCGCAGCGAAGGATCGCTTGATTAAGTCAGAGTCTGAGGCTCAGGACGTACGCTCGCAACTCTCGGGGTTGCAAGATGAGGTCGCAGAGCTTCATCGATCGAAACAGCAACTCAAGGAACACCTGCTGGCCCACAATGCCTCCCACGAAAAGCTCGATGAGGATTTACTGCTCACTCAGTCTCAATTGAAGGAGGTGCAATCCCAGATCCCGCATCTTGAGGCGCGACTAGCCAGCAGCGAAGAAGAGCTCGAAGCTATGTGCCGAGCCAAGGTCGTCACTGAGAAGCGACTCGAGGAGACACAGGCTGCCAATGCTAGCTTGGAGAGGGAGCTTGATATTGCGCGAAAGAACAATGAGGAGATCAAGGGTCGACTCAATCGCACCACTACCACCAACGCGCAATTGGAGAAGGATCTCACTACGACACGTTCCAAGATGGCAGAGTCGGACGCACACAAGACTGAACTCACTTCCAAGTTAGCCGACGCAGAAAAAGAGCTCGACGGCCTCCGAAAAATGCAGGACGATGTCGAAAAGAAGTTAGGCGAAGCGTTGGCTGTCTCGGCAAGCAGAGAAGAAAGTCTATCTTCGACTCGCACCCGGCTGAACGAGGTTGAATCTCAGAACGCCGCCATCTCTGCGGAGCTTACCAGAACGAACGAAGAGTTGAATGCTCTTCAACACGCGAAGATCGAGCTGGAAAGCAAGGCAGGTAGCGCTGAACAGCAAGTCGGCTCTCTTCAGGATGATATGACAAACATGCGCTCACGCATAGCCGAACTGGAATCAAACAGCACTGACTTGGTTTCTAAGCTGTCAGCCAGCAGTAAAGAGCTGGATGAACTCAGATCAGTTCACACAAAGCATGAGGAGTCTTCTCGATCCGCGTCAGATCGCAATAGTGCGCTTGAGGCCGAATTCCGCGCTGCTCAGATGCGGCTGGACATTGCTGAGTCGGAAAGCCTTGAAATGCTTAACGACCTCATTGCGGCCAACGAAGAACTCGGATCTCTTCGCGAGTCGAACGCTACGCTTGGAGCTTCGGAGAAAGAACTGTTCGCCCGCATTACTGCAGCAGAGGAAGAGCTCGAGAGCACACGTGAGAAGAACGCAAAGCTGGAAGCCTTCCTTGAGCGTGTGGAAGCCGACATGGCCGATGCTCACTCCGCCGTTGAGGATACCGAGAGACGCTACCACGAATTCGTGGAAGAGTCGCAAGCCAAGCTGGATGCTGCGAAGGAGTCGAAGCAAAGATACAAGCGCCGACTTTCGGAGAGGAACAACGAGCTTGAGATCCTCATCAATGAGAACTCAGACCTTCATCAACAGATCGGCGACCAGACACGGGAGCTAGGTGCGCTTAAGAAGGGCAAAGGCAAGCTGGTCGAAGAGCTGTCAAAGAAGGAGAAGTACATCGAAGAACTCGGATCTTCTACTGATAGCAGGATAAGATCAATGAACTCGGCATATGACGGTCTCAAACGGAAGTTTGAAGAGCAGCAGCAACAGCAACGAGAGCTAGACGGCAATCACGACAACGCCGTTCGTCTAGAAGCTGAGCTAGAGAGGAAGATGACTGAGATTGAAGAGATGCGACACCATCAGGACGAGTATGCAGCGTCATTTACTGCGTTGGAGCAGGAAGTCAAGGCCTTGCGAGATGACAAGCGAGCTTTTGAGACCTTGATCGCGACATTGCAAGATAAGATCAGACATTTGGAAGCCCTGGAGCAGTGGGATGAGCCCAAGGAGAACAAGGAGTCGGGCGAACTCCATCGCACTTCCTCGCCCCGCCACATCACCATCCATGACGGCCCTTACGACACTGCTCCTTCGAGTCCAATTTCATCTCACACAAGGAGTTCGATTGGACACATGAGTATGCAGCATGAGAGGCCGCAGACTAGCGCGAGCACCGTCTCTCACGAGGGTGATCCTGAGTCCTGGGGCCTGCGGATAGAAAAGATACGCATGCAACGCGATGACGCAGCCGTCCAACTCAAGGGTATGAAGAAGTCGCGACACAACCTCAAGAAGACTTTGCGGGATACAGACGCGCAACTTCATCGGATGGAGAAGGAGACCAAAACGTACGTATCCTGTACTAATATCATCAAACGATCGAGATCAGCAGCTGACAAACCCAGTAAACGTCCCCAAAACCTCCTCCGCAAGAAGTCCCGTCCCATGACACCCAACCCCCTCACCGCCTCGCCCGACTTATCCCGCAACACACCCTCCCCGCGCATCGGCAGCGCACCCCAAACACCAGATCGTCCTAAGACCTCCCACGCAATCTCCTCCTTCTCGCCTCGCTCAACCGTCAACACCAATTCGAGGCATAGCACCTACATCGCTCCCAGCGCTCCTATGACGCCTGAAAACAAGACTGCGCCGTCTACGCCCGAACGACCTAAGACGAGTCATAGTATCAGACATAGACTGAGTTATAGACCGACGACTAGTGGCGGTGAAGAACATGTACATAAGGGTCATGGACACGTGAGGAAGTGGAGTTCAGGCTTGAGGAGTTTGTTCCATAAGGATGGGTGAGAGGTAGCTGTTCTTTTCGCTTTGTTTGGTTGCTTTGGTTTTTGACTGTGTATATTTTGTTTGTGTGTTTTTTTTCCTTTGGCCCAGGCTGGCTTTTCGCTTCGTGTTGTTATTGTTTGTGTTGTAGTTTATCCTCTTCTTCCTTCTCGTTCTTGTTAGTCGTTTGCTCATGTTATTGTTTTGCATTCTTGAGATACCAAAGGATAGGGCTTATGGAGGGCGGTAATGGGTTCTTTCTAGGGTATCGTGAGTGGTCTTGCGATTGTAGGGTCGAGTAGATTCATGTCTTTACAGTTACCTACGTATATATTTGGCACGTAAATGGACGCGAATACAGCATCACTCTTCATTAAGGGTACGAGCGTTGATGCATTTGACTGCATTGTGTATTGCACTACTATGATTTCGAGCACAGAAGAGGATCTTAGAATTGCTACACATTGCTGGATTCATATCTCGACGTCTCGCAACAACGATAAGAAACTTTACATTGACACTACATTGTAGCGTTAGTCATCGTTGATCCGAGCGTGTGGACTGCCCAGGTGGCTGCTGCCTTTACGGTTTCGCCTCGTCCGTGCACTAGCCCGCTATACTTATCAGGTAGTTATCAAGTACTCGAAGGCCCGCCCAACAGCTCACTCGATCGCAGGAACCACGACAACTACTACACCTCATTTCGCTCCACCATGCCCACAACCGCCTTCCTGGCTCTCCCAGCCGAGGTGCGCATCAACATCTACAACCACATCTCGCCAGCCAACACCTCTTTCGCCTCATACTCCGGTCTCCTCCAAACATGTCACCTCATCCGCAAAGAATGGAAGCACGAAGCAAAGAAACGCATATTCAAAGAATACACCCAACTCCGCGCTTTCCTCGCCACCCACAACATACGCATCCTGACGTCCGCCCGCGATTCATCCCAAAGATCAAAGATCGTACTCCGCCTCCCACCACTAGACCCCACGGCAAGTACCACCAGGCTGCCCAATTTCATTCCCTGGCACTGGTCCTGGATCACCACCGTCATCGTCAACTTTAGTAACGAGTGGCCGCGGCATTACAGGTCGCAACTTGCCATGTACAACCTGTACTGCGACACGCACATGGACCTATGTCGAGATATCCTGGCCCTAGGAGCACACACGATTCCAGAGTACTACAATAAGTTGTGCGAGACGACAAATCGGACTACTAGTATCAGGCACATTAGTCTGCGCTGGTACAATGTCCCCCGGGATACGCGGATTGGTCCATCACGCTTCGGTGCTATACCTGAGCCTTGGCTTCAGTATGGCGAGGACTTTGAGTATCCCTTGCGTCTATGGGATATCCAGACGAGGTGTGGTAGAGAGGGTGGGAGTAGCTGTTTTAGTGTGGTTTGGCGGCGCAGGAGCTGGAAGGATGTTCCAAGGTGGTACTGGGTGTCGCGTGGGATCTGGCGGTTCTTTTACAGAGTCTTACGAGCGGTCTGTATTGTTGCTGCTGTGTGGAGTGGCTTGTCGGTACTGGAATTGTTGTACAATGAGTATATTCGTGCTTAGGGGTAGTTTCCCGCGGATATTGGAGATGAATGTATGGATGTGCAAGATGAGCCTTTTCATCGTATATCGTGTCCTCCCCCTTGATGCACCTCTTTCCCTCGGTATCTTTTCACATCCCCATACTCCCCGCCCTCTACCATGGTCGCGTCGCTAGCTGCCGCACTATCTCCTTATTCAACTCTTTTTCTAATCTTTCTACATCCTCCTCCGTCGCCTCCTCCTCCTTCTCTTCTTCCTTGGTCTTCGCCGACCCCCAAGGCTCCAACCCTATACCCCACCAATCCGTCTTGAACATTGAATCCCACCCCTTACTCTCAATTGCCTTCTTCTTAAAGCTCTTTGTTGATCTACGCCCCCTTCTAGCCAGGCTCGTGGTAAACTCTTCTTTGTGAAGACCTGTATTTGAGGCCAGTCTGTCTAGCTCCTCTGGTGGGGCTGCGCTGCTGAACTTTCGCCAGAGTACTGTTTCGGAGAAGGTGACGTGTTTGTCCTTGAGGGGTATGTATTTGGATGTAGGCGTGGGCTTGGCTCGAGGTTCGTGGCTCAGTGACGTTTTTACGCACCCAAGACTCGTGCGATGATTCCGCTTGACCGCTTCTCCAGCCCATATACTTTCGTCTCTAATCGCATCCACAATCTCCCTCTTCAAACTCGCAACAAGATCCAAAAGCGGCCCATACCGTTCCGCAATCAACGGCCAATACCTCTCCGCCGCAGTCCTCCAATCCCTACAGGGATATTTGGATTGGTGTTCACACCTCATCTCTATCCTTCTCATACTGCAATGCGCATCGTAAAGCTCTTCCACGCAAGCTGCTTCATCTTTGTAGCCCTTCGAACTATATATCAAATCCTCGAGCGTCTTCAAGATCTCCTTTTGTTGTTTCTTGATGCGTCTCAACGTGGACGACGCGTAGGATTCCGAGGCGCCGTGAATGCAATGTATGTCTTTGGTTTGTTTTTCAATCATGTCTTCGAGTGTTGTGGAGACTCCCATGAGGCGTTCCGCTTGATCGCGTGTGATATGCATGCCGGCGATGCGCGCCTTGGGTGCTTTGGACGCTGTGGGTGCTTTGGATGCGTTCGGCGCTGTCTTTGTCTTTGTAAACCAAGACATGAGGAATGTGTGAAGATAGTATAGATAAGAGAGTGATTGTCGCGCGCATTGCTTTATTGCGCGGCTTGGTGAGGTGGGTTGGGCCGGATTCGGTACCCTGGATGGGATTTTGTTGCGGGCCAGTGAGGAAGAGCGCATTATGGTTGAAGGGACTGTGGTTTGGTTGATGGGTCGAGGTGCGGCTTGCGTGTGAGCCAGGCGGCGACGTATCACTTCCACGTTGCGAATAATGAGATAATGCAGGGGCGGTGCGAAGCTAGTTCTGGTGCGCATTGTGAAAACGGGCTGTTGAGTGTGAGATAAGGGAAAGGGTCTGAGAAGACGGGCGCCTGTGAGACAATCTGGTTTAGGGAACAAACAACGACAGGAGCAAGCGGAGATGATATGTCAAGCACTAGACTTGACTGCGTTGATGTCAGAGTCGCTCTGCTGGCTGTCAAATGTGAATAATACTGGTTGAATTGGAGCAACGTGGTTACATGCCTGCGCTCACATCTTCGCCCTGTCCCCATGATCCGCATTTACAAGAACATAACGATACCGTGCATGGCCCTCCTCCATATCAACCACACTCTTATTCGCATCCTTCATATTGCGCTTCTGCACCCAAGGCTTAATCCCCTTATCAGCCGCAAACTGAAGCATCTCCTCAATCTCCTTGGGACTGCCAATCTGGCTACCCCCGATCTTGCATCCTTTGCCGATAAGACCAAACGCTGCGATTTGAGGAAGCTTGTCTTCTGGTGCGCCGACTTGAATGAATGAACCGCCTGTACGGAGAAGTCGGAGATAGGACTCGAGCGGCATGTCTGGGGAGGAGACGGTGCTGATGATGAGGTCGAGGGTTCGGCTGTGGTTGCGCGCCCACTTGTCGTCTTCAGAGGTGGCGATATAATCCGTTGCACCCATGGCTTTTGCGTCGTCGACCTTGTTCCTCCGTCGGCTTATCGCTACAACCTTCTCGCAGCCGAGTGCTTTGGCGAACAAGACGCCGAAATGGCCTAGACCTCCTAGCCCTACGATTCCGACCTTCTTCCCGGGACCTGCGCCGTTGTTCTTCAGCGGCGCATAGACGGTGATGCCGCCGCACATCATAGGCGCTGCTTCTTCGCTCTTCAACCCAGCGGGTATCTTGATAGCGAAATGCGCTGGGATGCGAACGTAGTCTGCATATCCACCCATGCTCCAGCTTCCATCCGGGTACTTCGCGTTGTACGTGCCCACCATCTTCGGACAATGCTGCTCAATGCCCGCGCTACATTCCTCGCAGTCGTCCTTCAAGCAGCTGAACGCCTGCGCGCCTACGCCCACTCTGTCGCCTAAGCGCAGGTTCTTGACTTTGTCTCCCGCACGCACGACGTTTCCGACGATTTCGTGGCCGACGCATACTGGATAGTGGGTCGCGCCCCAGCCAGATCGCAGGGTGTGTATGTCGGTGCCGCAGATGCCGCAATGGGAGACTTTGATGTCGATATCGATGGCGTTGAAGGGCTTAGGTTGGAAAGACGACCATGTCATGTTGCCTTGTGCCGCATTCTTATCGTGGCCCAGCCAGCCGTGAAATTCGGAAGGGGAGGTCATCTTCGTTTGGGGGCGGGATCTCCAACACTGGAAGGCGGGATGAGGTAATTTGAGCTGGTCAGTACACTATTCGAGGAATTGGTCGTAGTGTTAGCTATCAAGAACAGAACGACAGTAGATGCGTTGTCGCGCATCGCGCAGCTAGGACCGAGGATGGCCGACGTCATGGTGTTGGGACAATGTTATCCGAGGCATCTCGCCGGAGCCCTGGACACCAGATGAGGGGTCTACGGTTCATGAGAAAGAACAACCCCCATCATCGCGAAGAGCCACGATAGAGTCAGCGGCGCGATATCGTGTCTCTGCAAGTGTCGAGAACGATCAATGGAGCTGCGTGTGATGTCGAGGACCGTGAGTACTGCATGTGCACTGTCGCGCTAACCCGCGACCATCAGTCAGCAACTCTAATGCCCGGGCATATCGGCAGCTCACTGTGATATACTCCTGGATATCTTCTTGGCTTAATTACACCAGCGTCCAATTTAGACACAAGACATTAACTGTTAAGATTGAGGCGATCACAAGACTACCCAGAGATCTGTTCATTCATGCTACTGTACATTACTACGACCCGATGCATTGATATAACGCGAGAACCAAATCTACCAACCCCTAAGCCTCGGTCTTCTTCATCCCCTTCGTAAAAAGCGGACTCTGCTTAACGCGTTCCCAATCATGAAGCATCATGGTATTTGCCGTGCCATCCCTAACCTCCGTACCCCCACGCCTAATCATCTCCTCTTCAAACGCATCAACCGCAGCTTTCCTGTCCTCGCCAGCCTCAATCTTAGTAATAGCTTCGTACAACTTCCCAGCGTCTGTAACAGAGTGATTGAGGCCCTGACCTCGCTGGTACGTCATCGGATGCACAGCATCGCCCACCATAGTAATTAAGCCGCGATGGTTATCCCAGCGATGACCTTCCATGCCCGGGTCCCAGTCCGTGAGGCCGAGATACCACACGGGCGTGCAGTCTGGCGTCCATTCAAACGCACTCCTCCACGGGTCGCAAAACTCTTTTGCGAATTCTTTTTGTTGCGCCAGGCGCTGGGCACCGGTCCAGTTCTTTGTGGCTTCCTGCTCTTTCAAACTACTTCTCCACGAGATGTAGTAGAAGAAGGTCCAGGAAGCCGGGTCATCTTCGTCCGGCGCATCATGCATGCCGAAGAAGGCGAAGTTGTTATTCGGGTGCGCACATGCCAGATACAGTGGGTGGAATGACCGCAAGAAACGGGCTTGCTCGGCGGTAAACTTGCACTGGACAAACGTGCACGCATACGGTATGTGGTTGATGGAGCCCAATTCCCTCCCGAGGAGAATCTGCCTGGTGGAAGAGCGCGCTCCATCCGCGCCAACCAGCATGCGTCCTGTTGTCGAAGTTCCGTCGGCGAAATGGGCAGTGACTGAGTCATCATCAGGTGAGTATGAGACGTCGTGTAAGCGCTTGTCGAAGTGTATGTCAAGGCCTTGCATTAACAGGTCGCGCAACTTGCTCCTCCGTAAGCGGTAGAAAGGCCCGAAGGTGATGGCTGCAACCAGCGCTCCGGTATCGCCTCGCAGCCACTTCAACGTGTCCTGCTCTTTCGTGGGGACATTCGGGTCGACCTGGACGCTCTGGATGCGGTCCCACCAGCCATCTGGCATGAGGCTTTTCAGGACTGGCGCGCCCCAGTGAAGGCCCATGTTCCAGTCGCGCTCGCCATGCGTGGCAGCGTTCTTCTCGAACACGACGCACGGGATGTTCGCCTAGTTGTTCGAATGAGGCTACTCTTTGCATTACACAGACGGTGTACATACTTTGCGGAGCCCCTGTGCGAGTGCAAGTCCAGCGGTTCCTGCGAGCTGGTCAGACCGTGTGGTGCAGCATGTATGCGGCGTCACCTTCGCTTACCGGAACCAATAACGAGGATAGGGAGCTGCGCCGCAATGGCTTCGCCGTCGGCAGTTGGTTTTTCCATGTCAAGTCGCCTGAGATCATCGATGGACTTTGGTCATACTCTCAACCTGTTCTTCGTCTTCTACAACAAAGTTCGAGTATCCACTGTAGAGGTGCTCTTGGCCCACCCTCTCCAACCCGTGCCGCCTGCCAGAAGGGCCGATTAGGAAACGGCGATGAAGGCAATGACGCCGTTTGCGGCCCGCAAATGAGCCAGTCCATCAGTCACGAGATGCATTCATCGACACCCTCCTTTTCGAGGCTGTTGGCAGGCTCGCCAATGGCCTGAGTGCCTCGGACACCCAGAGTCTTCGTACAACGTCGGTAGAGTGCCGCCAGCACGCGCTTACCCCGACGCCTCTAACAGCGATGCAGGCGATGCAGCACCGTTCCTTTTGCGCGTGCATTACACGCGCATGAACGAATAACAGCGACCGGAGCAGACGACCGATCCGCTGGATCTACTCGGGGATGCTGCGCGAACGCGGCGCCATCGGTGCAATGCTCCACTTTGTCAGAGACCCCTCGCCCATTGACAGAGGCCTCCAAACGAGAGTCAGCGGCGGGCCAGCGTCCAGCAACTTCCCAGTGCATCGGCTCCAACTCTCCAATATGTAACCCGTCGTTTCCGGGCGTCGCGTCGATATCTCCCACTCCTCCCCGCCGCGCACTCACACGACAGCACCATGGCGTCTTCATCTTCCCCGAAGCCTTTCGAGGGCATCGGCTTGCACCAGCAGGATAGCGCCGTGCATCTAGGAGACGACGCGCCTTCCTCCAGCTCGTACCCACAACAACACGCCCCCGTACACCACGCAGCGTCACAAGACTCCGAAGCTTCCCCCGTAGACGACGACGATGGCCTTGGCTTCTCGTCCGACTCAGCCTTCGACAGCGGCAGCCTCCTTGGCGACGAGACCGATTCGCTAGCCTCGTCCATCCTCCACCACCGCATGGAGAATGGACGGCAGTACCACGCATACCGCGACGGCGCATACTGGGGACCGAACGATGAGCTGGCCAAGGAAATACTGGACTTCGCGCACCACATGTACCTCCTGACGCTCGATCAGAAGCTGCATCTTGCGCCGCTGGTCAATCCGCAGACAATATTAGATTGCGGCACAGGAACCGGCATATGGGCAATTGTACGCTCCCCAATATCAAAGACTCCTCCGACGCAGGCTAATATGGACACGTCTAGGACATGGCAGACCAATACCCCTCAGCAACAGTAACAGGAACCGACCTCTCCCCCATCCAACCCGAATGGGTCCCGCCAAACTGCCACTTCGAAATCGACGACGTCTCGCTCGAATGGACCTTCCCGCCCAACCACTTCGACTTCATCCACATCCGCGAGCTCTTCGGCTGCATCCCCGACTGGGACTTCTTCTTTCAGCAAGCCTACAAGCACACCAAACCAGGCGGCTGGATAGAAATCGTGGAGCATTCCGTATGTCCTACATCCGATGATGGGTCAATGGGCCCAGACCACTTCTACCATACCTGGGGAAAAGTAGTCGTGGAGATGGGGGATCGGTTTGGCAAGACGTTTACGATTTGGGAAGAGAGCGCTGAGAGGATACGGCGAGCCGGGTTTGTGGATGTGACGGTCATGGAGTATAAGTGGCCGATGAATGGGTGGCCGACGGATAAGAAGTTGAAGAATATTGGGAGGTGGAATCAGTTGAGGTTGATGGATGGGGTTGAGGGTTTTATGTTGAGGTTGTTGACGCAGGTTGGCGGTGTGAGTATTGCTGAGGTTGGTGTGGTGGATTAAGCTGACATGACGCAGTGGTCTGTTGCACGAGCTCAACTGCATTTAGCGCAGATGCGGAAGGAGCTAAAGAGTTACCGGACTCACGCGTACTTACCCGGGACTGTCGTCTACGCGAGGAAGCCCATCAAGTGAAAGATCGGCATGTTGCATCGACCTCACACATCGAGATGCGACTCCACACTCGGGCTCAGCTCTTCTAACTACTCCAAGACGGATTAGCTTGCCTGCGATCACAACGACTATTACGGGTAGTTCTAGCACTACCGCGCAGTTTTACCCATCACGCATGTGAAACAAGATGATGACCAAGAAGGAAGAGTGTCATTAGATTCCAGATCTACGAAGATCGTGAGCCTTTTTGGGAGAGGAAGACCAGGAACCGCCTCCAGTTTCGGACGTGGACCCGAAGCCCCGCAGTCTCATCCAGCTTCCAACATCGTGGTCAGAATTACCATTATCGCTCACATCGACGCTCCACGATCCTTCACTCTTAAGTGCGTGGACAGTCGACGGACTTGCACTTGCCGCAGTTATCTTCAGCAGTGCTCGCGCACAGACACAGAGCCTTGCAGATCATATCGTCAGCGCCGCACTTCTTGCTACATTCGTACCCAGCATCGCGGCAAGCTTTGCAGTGCTCGCTGTTGACATCGTCGTCGTCGCTTCCCTCGCGAGCGTTGGCAGCGGCAGCGACTTGCTCATAGTCGGCAGTCTCAGGGCCAGCAAGAGCAATGTCGTGGTCGGTGAGCTCCCATTGATCGCAGTCTTGAGGAGCCTCGACGCAGCCTGTGGTAGAGTTAGTATAGATAGAATTGGAATGAAGCTCTCGCTGAGCTAGAGAATGTTATCACGTACCTTGTTGGCGACAAATTGACTTTGGGTTTGAGTGCAACATGCAGGCGCAGTAACCCTCGCAATGGGGACCAAAGCCGCACGCCTTGAGGCAATATGGCAAAGCCTCGGAGCAGCCCTGTGTTGCGCAGGTGTTGTCGTCGCCGTTGACATCAGCAGTCTGCACAAAGTCCTCGGGAGCGTCTTGGTTGTAATTGATGGTTCCAGGATCGACCTGAGCAGCAGTCTCCGACGAAGCCTCCTCAACAGTCGCGGACGAAGCTTGTTCAACGGCCGCAGAAGTGTCTTCATCTCGACGAACCTTGCCACTGAGCTCGTACTTCTCACAGCCCGCAGGAGCAGTCTTGCACGCTGTACTTTGCATTAGCAAGATATCCCAACTCCCACCCCATGCCTGTCGCAGGGTATCCGCTGTTTCACATACAGTGATCATTGTTACACTTGATAGTCTTGTTGTCTATAAGCTTGTACACCTTGCACTCGCAATAGTGCGCGCAGTGAGGACCGTAGTGGCACGCGACAACGCAGTCTTTGACGACATCCCTGAAGTTCCTCGTGCTGTCTTTCTTATCGCCGCCCGCGCTTGCGAGAGCGGCGAGGCTGACGAGTAGGAGGAAAATGGTGGTGAAGAAGCGCATGATTTTGAGTGAGCAGTGGTTGGGTTGAGTTGGTGGGGGATGGAAGGGAAGAAGGAAGGTGGATGGCGGAGGCACGGTGGAAGGAGCTTTTTGATCGAGGAGGTGAGAGCGCGGTGATGACGGTACGTCACCGCTTGGACGAGCGTTTGCGCGTGGGGAAAGCGCTGCCTAGGTAGGTGGATCTTGTGGAACGCTCGTGCGTCACGTATGAGTGAAGGTGAATGGAAGGTGCGCCTTGCGCGCAAAAGAGAGTGGCCCGGGGCGACGCATAGTTTGACGCAGTCGAGAGAGAATGAGGCTCTGGGATTGCTCGCAGCGGAACATCGGATTCAACGCCGAAGCTGAAGATGGGTACGACACATGAATCCTCGTCGGCGTTTCGATGTCATCTGCTCTTTCCCATATCACGTAACTCGATACTCGGCTCTCTTTTCACTACAACCTCCTTCCGCACCCAGATATCGGCATCCTTATTTCCTTTCGTAGAAGATGGAGTACGGCCATTCTGACTAGTAATCTTGATGTAGCTCGACAATTGGCCCGTATGCCCTGTGGAGGTAAAGCCGGATGTCGTCGTAACACACGCTTGGTTTGCGCTAAGTAGACCCGAGTCGAGACTCATCATGAAAGGCTTCAGGAAGGGAATCGTCGCAGTCATGATACTAGTCACTTGCACTATCTGGCCGCAAACGACGATACGCCATATCGAATGGAGGAGGTCGCTGGGTAGTGGTAGGGTGTGTATGTATCCGATTTGGGCGGCTGAGGCAAACACGACGCTGTGGTACCTCTTGTGTTAATGCAGGATCAATGTTGTTGACACTATACTTACACTATGCGCGACCAGAAGCCTGTGATGAGAGTAAGGCGTTTCTCGGATGTGATTTGCAGCGGTATTACCATCAATGTAGGTACGATGGCTAGGGCAAGGTCGGTTACAATGTTCATGACGGCATTGTAGGTTCGTACGGCGCGCTAGATCCGTCATTTAAAGTCGTAGAACCGGCAGTATCATCGGCTGAACTTACAAGATCCATGCACTCTGGGTTGGTTATATCCCATCTTCGTGGTGACGGACACTGGAAGGCAATGAGGAAAACGGCACTGAATCCCCAAAGCAGCGTCACAACACCAGTGGCATACATCATCCTCTGATGACTAACAACAGGCGTCACCAACGTCAAAGAGACGATTAGCGAGCCTTTGGCGGCAACGATCGTAAGGACGCTGAGGATCTCGTTGCTAAATAAAGCCTGATCTATTCAGCGCCGCGTTTTAAAAGGGTTGTCTGCTTTACCTTCCAGGCTCCATCAATCTGATCTTTCGTAAGGCCAGCTTGTACGTTACCGATAGCCTGACCAGCAGGACTGAGAAGTGTCGCGGTTTGTCCCGCCGACAAAATCTAGGGGGAGACTCATCAGTGTGTCTGTGTCTTGCCTCGTCCTCGAGATACTCACTAGAGCCGCTAGGAGAACAAAGTCCGCGGCTACCAGTCGCCTAGACATGGCTTTCTTCGTCGCAAATTGCGCTATAACAGCTAGTGTGGAGAAAGCGAGGAATAGCCAGGCGAGTATCTGGATTAATGGTGCTGCATGACCATCGTGGAAGGCAGGACGTTTGCCAGCATCCATAGCCTTGCGTTCAGAAAGCATGGTGGAGTCCCGCTTCTAGCAGTGACTGAGATGGTACTACCATTCGAGCAGCGTGCACACCTGGATATAGCCCAATTCGAAGAGGACAACTCCCCCGTTTCGTTATCTGTGCCTCGTTCCAACACTCTGTACTCACATGGTGCTCACGGACATCTCAAGGCCAAAGCAACAACATAACATACTGGTACACTCATTTCCAACTCTCCCCCCTCGTAGGATTTTTAATGCTCACCAGTTAGCTGGCACCACCCCCACGCACACATACGAGTCTTCGGCTTCTTTCACTGACCTGCATGTTGCACGACGCGTAAGACGTCAAGGATACAGGCTGATTACTTATCTGGTAATAGCCAGCGAGACAAGCTTTCGGAACGCGTTACAAGCATTAAGACGTTTGGAACGGTGTAATAGGTCGCTTAGACGATCCGTGCCGCACCCGCGCAGACGCATCACATTGAGTCACCAATCAGAGGAAAGGTAGCGCGCATGAACACCTTGTCGACATGCAGTTGCGCGAGAAAAAAAGGAAGGTAGGGATCAAGGACCTGTTGATGTCGTGGGTGTTTGTGCGACCACAGCGGCTGATCCACACGCTTGAGGCTTAGCCAACGTTGATAACGCTCGGGACGGTAATATCCGCGGCAACTGGGTCACTTCCACCCGGATCCTACAGGAAGCGTATTGAGTAAGGATCTCCGGATTGAGGGGAGAGTGAGATTGTTGAGTTGGGGGAGATAGGGAAGTCGGCGACAGATCGCGCAGTGGACAGCATGCCTTCGAGGGGGTTGAAAGTGCCCGCGGTTTGTACGCGCAATGGAGAAATAGAGTGTCTCGTCAGTATATCGTTGAGTTGCGTACGGTGACGAAGTTTCGGGGCATCATGTAGACCCTGCTATCAAGATCCCCGCGCGGCATGCTGTGCGACAAAAGTTGCGGCACCGCATGTTACCTGCTCGATGCGCTTAGCGAAACAATCTGGATGAATCCGTGCATAACCGACATCTAAACGCGAGGCTGCTCAAGTGCGGGTTGAAGAGCTTGCAATTACTTTTTATCTTCCTCGCACCCAGCGAAGTGTCCGTCGCGATTTCTTGCTGTCGATTTTCTCTTCGACATACCTTACTCCCACCATGGAGCTCGGCAACCGAACGAAAGCAGAAGCAGTCAGTTCCGCCATCGAAGACGGCGATCATGATAGCTACACGAGAGATGAGAGAGATCTCATCCGTCTGGGTAAGAAGCCGCAACTGAAGCGAACATTCGGGTTCATGCAGATCTTGGGGTTTTCCTGTACCGTCCTGGTGACTTGGGAGGGTATCCTGTCGTATGTTCAATTCCTGGATAGTATGCTCAGGTACTTTGTTGACAGCACCGCAGAGTTTCTACGCCAAGTCTCTTGAATGGTGGCCCTGCCGGTGTATTCTGGGGGTATCTCCTTATCTGGATTGGTTCGATCTCCACCTACACGGTCCTATCTGAGTTGTCTTCGATGGCCCCAACTGCAGGTGGACAGTATCAGTAAGTAGAAAGTCTTGTACATCGACAGCTATTCCTTACTGATGGGTTTGCAGTTGGGTCGCAATGTTAGCTCCGCCGTCGTCCAGAAAGTTCCTCAGCTATATCACTGGATGGGTAACGCTGATAGGCTGGCAAGCAACCACTGCATCATCGGCATACCTAGCTGGTACCATACTGCAGAGCGTGATTCTGATCCTACACGAGGACTACTCTCCCAAGCCGTACCAAGCCATGCTGCTTGGCTGGTCAGTCACCGCGTTTGCCGTCGTCATCAACACTGTCGGAAGTAAGACCCTCGCGCATTTCGAGGGTGTGATTTTGATATTGCATATCCTGGGATTTTTTGCGATCCTGATTCCTCTCGTATATCTCGCTCCTCATAGCGATGCATCAATCTTCATCACATTCGTCAACACGGGTGGGTGGTCAACCCAGGGCTTGTCTTTCATGGTGGGGCTACCATCATCGATATTTGCGCTTGTCGGTGAGTGTGATGTCATGCCAGATTCGCCGAAAATAAGAAAAAGAACTGATCCTTCCTCGCAGGTGTCGACTCATGTGTTCATGTATGTTATTCGCCCGAATTGGCCGAAATCCAAGGAGCTGACATGCGTGTAGATGGCTGAAGAAGTCAAGAACGCATCCAAGGTAGTGCCGCGAGCCATCCAGATTAGCGTGTTCCTCAACGGTGCACTTGGACTTGCTATGATGGTCGCATACCTCTTCTGCCTGGGGGACCTGAACGATGTCTTGGAGAACTCGGTCACTCTCGGGTATGCTTACCTTTACGTGTTCTTGAAAGGTACTGGATCTCCGGGTGGGGCTATGGCCATGGCATTGATCATGTGGTTCCTTGGCGTTTGCTGTCTGGTAGGTCTCATGGCCGCAACCTCGCGGCAGATGTGGTCCTTTGCAAGAGACAGAGCCGTACCATTCTCAACACAAGTCACCAAGGTATGACCCTCTCGATATCTCCTTGTAAAGCGAATCGAAGTTTGTAGGAGCTGACACTGGAATTAGCTCAATCCTGCGACTTTGATCCCCGTCAACACGATCCTCATCACAGCTGCCGTCAGCGTGCTCCTGTCGTTCATCGCTCTGGGCTCTTTCGTCGCTTTCAGCAATATCGTTAACCTCAGTATCGGCGGCCTCTATGCTTCGTACTTCATTGTATGCGTCCTTCTCCTCTGGCGTCGTCTCAAGGGCATCAGCCCGTACAACTCGCGCGCCGCAATGGTTGGACCGGAGACATTGCAATGGGGTCCTTGGAGAGTCCCTGGTGTGCTGGGCGTAGCCAACAACGTCTTTGCTTGCATCTACCTGTTCGTGATGTGGTTCTTCTCGTTCTGGCCAGGTTCCGTTGAGGTCAATGCACAGTCGATGAACTTCAGTTCGGTTACATTTGGAGGAACCGTGATCTTTGCCGTCATCTGGTATTTTGTAAGAGGCAGGAAGACCTATGTTGGCCCAATCGTTGAGGTGGTCTTGTAGTAGCTTCGAAGGAAGGATGACTTCAGGTTCGAGCACGAAGTCCAGGGGCATTGAGGGCGAATTTCGATGTCTGCACAACAAGGGCGCTAGCTTGAACGGGCTTTGGGGTTTCCCCTGAGCATGAGAGAGATGCAACAGGGCCGACAGGGCCATTGCGACGAGGAAGAGAGAAGGAACTATTGCGATAGACACATAGACATCGATAGAATGAACGTTAAGAATCAGCGCTGCATGTCAAGACCCTTGCGTGGGTCGATGGCGATGTTGGTGAATCGGGTGTGTTGCGAGACCCGCGTCATTGCCGAGGCTCGCTTCGCCTTTGTCACGTGAGCACTAACTCACCACCTGGCCATAGGTACACGCCCTTCCATCCCAAGTAACCAGTTCCTTGAATCTTAGCTAACTCATCACTTGCGAAGTTTTAAGATCATAAAACTAATGCCTTCATACGAAGGGGCCGAACTCAGTTCGGGCTGATAAGCTTCCGCTCTGGCTTCCTGCGCTGAACAGTAGTATACACCTTGGTTGGCTTGTTAAACCAATAATTGTGCGTTTCCCACTCCTTCTCCGGCTCCGAAAGTTCAAGACAAAACTCGCGTAGGAGTTGAGGTATCACCTTGTACATCTCGCACAGCGAAATCTATACTATCGTTAGCAACGCTTAATGCAGCTGTAAGCTTCCACTCACGTTCTTTCCAATACATGTTCGCGATCCACCACCAAACTACGATGTGTGTCAGTACTTCGAAGTATTGAAGCGGTATAGGACACAGTACCTGCAACATATACCTCTCTATTCTTGCAGCATCTGAACCAAGCCATCGTTCAGGTACAAACTCATCCGCATCATCGCCGAAGATGCTCTTATCGCGTTGTACCACCGCGGCGTTCATGCCGACTCGAGTGCCGGGAGGAAACCATTCGCCAGCGATCACGCATCCACTTTTGGGCACGTGACGTGGCAGTGTCATACCCACGCTTGGGTGAAGTCGCATACCCTCCTTACAACAAGCCATCAGGTATCGTAGTCCCACTGCCTCATGGTACTGGATAATCGGGCTGAGTAGTCCGGCTTGCGCAGCTTCGTCTATCTCGGCAGTGAGCTTGGCGTAAGCGGACGGGGTGCGCATCAGATAGTAGAGAATAGCGGTGATGGCTGCTGCGGTGGTATCGGAGCCGGCAATGCTAGGGAGCGTTAGTGCGCCGATGACATACGGTAAAGAAGAACCCACAAAGCTCCATAAACTTCAGCCTTTATCTCAGTCATGCCAAAATCCTTGTCGGTACCCTTTTGGTGCATGATGTTGAAGAAGCTTTGTAGCATATCTTCGCAGTCATCGGCTTTGCCGCGCTCGATGCGCCGTTTCCGCTCCGTGACGCATGCTTCGGATGCCTCTTCGATGTGTTTCAGAGCTTTTAGAGCCTTGAATACATGTGGTATCAATGCGCCGCTGATAAGTACAATTGGTCGTAAGTACGCTGGTGAAGCGCAGGCAACGGCGATGAACGGGATCAACAGGTCCAAGGAGTGGATGTAGCCGCCATAGTCATGAGCATTCTTCATGAAGCCAAACATGCGACTAAAGAATAGTTGTCCAATGACGTCGAAGGCGTACCTAGATTCCAAGTCAGTTCTCGCATATATGAGGTTTACTGTATAATGTCTTACCATTGAACCCAAGTCGACATGTCAAGCGTACTGCCTTTCGTTGCACCCTCGCTTAGCTTGTCGACAAGCATCTGTACACATTTGTCGACACTTTCCTCCATCCGCAGTATATTGGACATGGAATAGAGAGAGTTCACGATCCTGCGCCTCTCGGCGTGTTGAAGCTCGTCGAGGTTCGTAAAGGCATCTGGGTATCTTGACCAGGTTGATCGGAATGGGAGGTAGAAGTCGGTCTGTACGACGTCAGCATCAGTGACGCCTCTCAGAATCATTTGCGTACCTTGGTGAACCCTGTATGTGTTGCATATATGGTCTTGATTGCTTCAGGGTCCGCTATCGCAACCTCATTCGGGGCTATCCGAACGATGGGTCCTATGCTGGTCAATACCGCGAAAAGCTTGGCGAGTAGGGCAGTAGCTTCATACCAAATCGCTCATGAAGCCTTCGTTGTGTCTCCTCCGAGTTTCCTCGTGCAACATCGAAGATGTGCCAGAACCGCGTGATCGAAGCAAAGAATGGCCCGGGGTGTTTGGCTAGCGGGTGTATATTTCTGGCATAGAAGACCCATATTAGCAGGTAAGTAAGAAGGGAGATCACGATGAGAGCCACGAGAGGCATTGACTGGGTAGAGAGCAGCAGCTGTTGAGACATATTAGAAAAGCCTTGAGATAAGGACGACATGATCAGCCCCAGGTAACTCTGGAGAGCATGTGGTGCGTCCTCTGGCGCTTTATCCTGTAGGTTCCCAGGATCTGATCATACCAGGCTGACTCAGAGGACCTGTAGACAACCAGGTGTGTACACGGCTCCAAGTTTCTTGGCCGACACCGGGGCTGAGACCATTACTGCGGTGGCATTCGAGCTTCTACGTCGCTCCAGCACATCAACATCGTCGCCTGCTGCAGATCGTTCCACAATCACAATCGCATTGGTTGCGTAGCGAGATAAGAACTACTACCGTGCAGAGCAGTGGAACAGTCCCCCAGGCTGGGAGTCCGCATCGTCCTGTTCTGAACCTGTTCACTAAATCAAGTTAGGCCTCTCAAGGTTTCAGGCGTAAGAATAATCGTATCGACGAGATAAGTGGCGCATCCCTTGCTCTTGTAATGGACCGTGATTGCTGAAGTCGACTCCACCAACATTGGGGGTGGCTTCTGACATCAGCAGCACTCAGCGGCAGACTTTGTCACCATCGTATCCGAGAGACCTGTATGGTAGAAGTCGTTTTCTAGCTAGACCAGGCATCCGGAAGCGACATCAAAAAGATCTGGTGAGCCTTCCAGGTGGAGACGCGGTCGCGCCATCCAACAGATCATCGTAGCATGGGTAAGCCGGCACGGCACGGCCCTGCGACCGGGAAGGATGTTGCAGGCCGATGCAGCTTCCGGAAACCGACACACGGCGTAGACACCAGTTGATGGGGCGTGGCGGGCGGCACGATGTGATGTGATGTTTGAAGTTGCACAACAGCTGCCCAGGTGCGCAGCAGGCCTCACTCTACTCCTAACCAAATTCGGTCTCGGCCCCACCAAACACGTCATCATTGGGCGGCTTCGCGGTGCTTGAGCTTCTCCAGCAAGAGCAAACAGTTGGCGCAGCGCATGGATACGATATCATATTCACCTACATATCTACTCGGGGACAACAAAAGCACCCCGTGCGAGGAAGATGAGATGCTTAGCACAAAATCCACCATGAACGTCGCTTCCTTTCCCTGCGAACGCTTCACTCGTCACGTCATCTACCACGGATCACTATACAGCCCCCTATACTCTTTACGATCGCATCTTCATGCTGCTTCCGCGATACTACGACTAGTCATCGTTTGGCACCACTCTCATCCGCCTCTCGCTTCTAACTCTTACGGCCCATGACCAGGGCTGGTTGTGGCATCCGCCGCGTGCTGAGAGACAGGCGGACCGTGTTCTTGACCGACAAGCGTTGTCAGAGGGATGTTGTCTGATGGCTGTAGCACAATGTCGGACGAAGCAGGTCTCCCTGGAGCATCCGGCACGCGTTGAGAGTTATACCTACGCATTGACGCTCTTATGCCGGAGTCGCTGGTGTGCAGAGTTGAATCGACAGATAATGGGTTTGGAAAAGTATGCCCCTGCTCGGCCGTATCATATGAATTGGTTACTGTCCATACCCAGGCTTTGAACAGCTGCCACGCCGCCTGCAGGAGCACCAAGTCGGCGATGATGATCGAAAGAACAAGTTCGCCCATGGGCTTGTACTGCGGCACCTGGCATGTGTATGGCGTTGTGATGACGGAGGGGACGACGCGCAGAGGTTCACTGCTTGAGCGCTTAGCGTCGAAGGGAACGTGCTCCGGGCCGAACCGATCCGTCGACAGATACTTGTGCACAGTGGTGAAGTTTGCCGTAAAGTACTCGAGTGCCGTCTCGTTGTTCAAAATATTTGGTGTCTCGGTCTGTCCCAAGTCTGCGAGGACAGTAGAGTAGGTGGCCTTGGCCAGTGTATCTACTGGCACCCATATATCGGGATAGACGCGTCGCCTGTTGAGCTCACCCAGAGTAGTCGAGTCCTCGTCACCCCTGCCGGGCCGGATATATTTGGAACCTGTGCCATTCTCCCCGGCCACGGTGAAGCAATAGTCTGGGGTGAAGAAGTTGATGTATGCGAGATCATCCGCCAACTCGGTAGGAGTGAGATGCATTTCACCCTTCTTGATGCGCAGTTCCCCCGCGTCGGTTTTTTTCTTGCGATACTGTTGCATGGACCAGGTGAAGTAACCCCAGTAGTTGGACATAAGTGACTCACCCCACCACAGACTGGCACGCGTCTGCTTGTCGTGGGTGAGGAATTCACTGTCGGATGAGCGACCCTTCATCCGCGAGGGCAATGTCGATGATGAAATGGAGTTGTACGTTTGCGTCAGATTAAAAAAGACGGTTCTTAGTGGACTCTGGATTTGGCATGAGACATGAGTTCGGACTGCAGTGTTCCATTCATCATAGAATATGTGGTCAGTTGTTTCATCCACCTCTTCAAACTCAACGCCGATCGAGACGACAGAGCAGTCTTCAAGGATGTTGTTCTGGTATGTCAACGACAGCAAGGAAGTCATGTGCGTTTCTTGCTCTGTCCAGACAGCTGTGAGTGTGTACAAAAGAGCCGTCTGGTTCGTGAAGAAGGAATCGTATCTAGAGAGGTGGGCGGGCATGCATTTAGGGCGTATCCTGTACGCACGGGAATAAGGTCAGATTTGTAGGTAAGACAAGTGGGGTCAAGTGTGAGTTGGGCGTGTGTAAGACTTCTCAACTTTGCATTCGGATGTCACATACTTGTTGGTGAGGATGTTCCAGGATGGCCAGCCATCTTGCGACCGCTGAGCGATGGTCGCGTTGGGTTCAAATGTTGTCTCCAAAACTAGGTCAAACCCACTAATGGCGACGTTAATGTATGTGAATAGTGCCGTCAAACAGAGCCCGCCAACGAGAACAGTGGGTATATACCACCGATAATCACGGGCTCGGATAGGCTTAGTAGTAGTAGTGGTGCTATCACTATACCACCGGTACGGGGACACATGTCGTTGTGGCATCGCTCGTTAAAGAGAGCTTGGAACGTGGTGGTAGCAGGGGGTATTTGAGTTGGAATCTTTTTAGATTGGCGCAACCTTGGAACGCGCAGACTAAAGGAGATACTTTGGGCGATGTAGCCGAACGCAATGCGACGAGGAGCCGGACGAATTCAAGGGGCAGTAACAAGGCGCTTAGATCCCCGTCATGCAATGTTACACGGCTTCCAAAGCTGCAAAATTTCGTCACACGCCACGCTAAAAGGCTGACAGTAGAAGCTGCGATTCTTATGATGACAGCTCTGCACAATAAAAGAGAGATATTCGGTTACTTCGTGGCTGATTTAATCGAATATATGACCACACAGGTAACTAGGTAGCTCGTAGCCATTCACCAGGGCTATAAGATGCATCACGCAACTTCCTTGTAGTGTTGGATCAAACAGATTTCATCATACGATGCAGTTTCGAGCAGCGTCATTCAAATATCAGTGAGAGACTAGCAAGCTTCCTCGCGTTTATTGAGATGCATGGTTCCGCGCAAAGCCCACCAAAGTACAGGTTTTATTGTGGGCTGCACCGGAGAAGACCTTGGCAGAGGGTGACACGAAACTCGGTGGAAGTCTTGGGTTACACGAAGTGGATTCCGCCGCGCATGACGGAATCGGAGAAGGCAAATGATAGGACAGGAGAGTAGCGAACAGCCAAGTCATGTGGAAGTCGGCGGCAAGCAAGGCGCGGTGATATGTAAGCAAGATTTCATGACATAACATTGCATACCGTGACGTGCCAACTTCATGTATGAGGCAAACATCATCGTGATGCTTGCTCCAGGAGAACGGCTGAAGCTCTGGAGGATACAAGCCTACATGGAGATGTACCACAACACCAGAGAGAACCTCGGGAAAACACACTGCCACCTTTTCGCCGCCAACTCCTTTAAGCCGTACGATGTCGCTTCCTAAGCATCCGTCCACCCCTCCTCCCTCCTAACCACATTCTCAATCTCCTTAACCACCTCTTTCAACGGCTTCAAAATCCTCCTCTGATAAATCACGACCATGCACTCCACATCCCACATCTCCACCTCCCCATGCTTCCCAAGCTGATATTTGCCCAACACCCCAAGCCCCTCCGCAACATCCCCAACAGGCCCCTGCGCCGAACTAAACTTCTGCACCGCGCGCGACCCATCTCGATAAATATCCTGACTCCTCTTCACAAACAACTGAATAGCTTTTGTCCGCTCAATCAACGACATCAACCCCAAGCAATGGAACGTCTCCACCTGGGCATCGATATGCGACTTCACAGCTTTAAGCAGAGTTAGAGTTTGGTTGGCGTCAGAGCGTGTCATGACGGTGCCGTAGATGTTTGTTACTTGGCGGGCAAGCCGTTTCTGCAGCTGGAGACGATGTTTCTTTGATGCTAGGGTTTCGAGATCGGGTTCGGAGTCGTAGGCGAAGTCGGTTTGGGGTGCGGTGGCGTTGGCCATGCGGCCTCTGAGGTAGAAGGATGTGAAGCCTGGCATTGTGGATGGGTTATGGGTTGAGGGTTGGGTGGTGTGATGGTTGATGGTTGATGGATGAAAGTCGTTTGCTGGTTTAGGGGTTGAGGAGGCTAAAGAGAGTGAACGCTTGGTGAGGCTCAGAGACCGAGTCGTTATATAGATTGAGGGGAGCGTTAGTGGCAAGTATCGAGATCTTGGCTCCTGCTTGTTGCTTGCATGCAGCAGTGAGTTTGCGCTGTGCATGGACGACCGCGTACTTCGAGGTCACAGTGGTTTTCACTTCACACGGAGTGAAAGTCATGAGATGGTGAGTGAACGCAAAGATCTAGGTTGGTCTTCCGGGCTTCGCACTCAAGCTTCAAGTCTTCGCGGGATACTCTAGGTGTGTACATTAGTGGGTTGGTAAGTCGATAACGGTGGTTTGCTAGGGCTGTTCGTCGGAATGGTCGTCTCCATACTCAACCACGGTAGCCAAGGAGATCTTGACTGATGAGGCTATATGGAATTGCAAAGAGTCAACGCTTACGATGGTAGTCAAAATTAAAGAGCAATGTATACCTAAAATATCATCATGATACGTTGAGTTTACATAATCTTTGTGTCCTCTCGACGTTGGCTACAATACCAGCACGTACAACTCCAGCCTTGCAGCCGCAGACAGAACAGTCTTATCCCACAATAAGGATGATGACTGCGAGGAACGCAGCTAGACGGACGCCAGTTGCCGGTTCGATAGCGGCGATAATGCCGATTGCAAGGACGCTTATTGGAAGGCTATACTTTATGACAGGGTCAGAAGCTGCGTAAGGGCATCCACGTGTATGGCAGTTTGTAACAACGCTGTCTACTGTCCATTCGGCTGTGAGGGACGGGACAGTCTGGTGGCGGGGGTAGGCTAGACTCAATGCATGGAGTCTTTGCAGTCTGCGCCTGGATGCGCGCATGGCGATGCATTTACAAGCGGCCGTAGAGAAGTGGACTGTTTTCATGGTGAAATTGAGAAGTTTTGGAGTTGTCGTTGTGGGTGCTCGAATTCTGAATCGAGTGCTGTGGACGGTATGAAAGATTATACAAAAGAAGCAAATGCTAGTGTTGTAGACTGTTCACAGTGCAACTCCGCAGTATGGTGTAGCTGAACTCCGAAGAGGGCTGCATACACAATGTTTGGTAGTATTTGGAGAGACGTACCAGGCCATGATACCTGTAATCCCGCTTGGTATCGTTGTTAGCAGGTCAACTTGAGGCGTGGAGGAATAATGTTTCGACGTGACAATGTACCAAAGAGTGGCGGCATCTTGTCATTCTGGATCGAACGAAAGTTGAATGTATTGATGAGAAGCCATAAGCAGCAAAACAGTGTCGGGCTGAGTGTCGCACATGATTGCTCTTCGTTCCAAGTGAGGCTCAAAATGCCCAATCTAAGTCCTTCCACACTTGCCCTTATTACCAACCTTGGGCTGTCACTGTCGAACCATGGGTGATGCAATCTCAGGTCAAACACCGATACTCCCCAGACTGATGTGCTTGCTATAGTTGGTCGAATGAACTGAAACAGCTTAAGAGCCGCCTGGAAGCAAAGGTGGAACAATCCTGGTGTGTTCAAGGGCCGCTTTCGCCATGTTATCCAGTTCTCTCGAGGCGTCATCCAAGAGGTGCATGCAACGGTACAGGAATCCAGGAGTGTACTATCGAAGCCGATCCTCTGTCCGAGAAGTCAGCTTTATGGGCCCGTGACCATCTTATTCAACTTTTCCAACTCACGCATTTTGTTCAGCTCGTCCAGGATCAACTGGAGCTCGTCCTCGTCCATGTTCAACGAGGGGATGAGGGTGGTGGCCTCTTCTGCGGTGTCCGGGGTAAGCGTTCCTAGCATGCTCGTCAGCACCACATCCACTCCCTTCCAATTCGTGTATTACCAAGCAGCGCCTTCTCGACAACGGAGATCTCGGGGTGCGCATCGAAGAGGGCAGCGATCGAGTGCAGACTGTCTTCCTCCTTGTAGCGGGCGAAGTTGTCTAGGTAGTCGAGGAACTGTGTGATGGTTCTGCTGCAGTCAGTCCTGGCTCTGTCCTTGACGCTTCCCATGTGTCGCGTCTTCTCGAGGCGACTCACATGCTGTCGTTGTATATCCTATCGCGCAGAGGGTTGTTCTCGGGGTCCTTCTTCTTCCGGGCCTCGTGGACGGCTGTGACGACGGCGCGCGCTTCGGAGACGGAGAGGGCGTGGACGTCTTCAAAGTCGCCCAGTTTGATCTCAGAGCCCATCTCCTCCTCTTGCTGCACCGGGGGCTTCGGGCGCGATACCAGCCTCGGGGCCTTGAAGACGGGTGGCTCCTGCCTCTGGGGCGGCGCGTGTTCTCCCTCTCCTTCCATGGCGAAGGGATGCAAGGGTATGTGGTAGGCTGGTAAACGACGGTAGGCAACGGTATAGACGCGGTCGGTGAGTTGTGGTGGTCTTTGTTGGATACGCGCAGGTTCTTCGGGAGGTGCGCGAGCTCGGTCCTGCTAGTAAAAGCGGCGGAGCTACCTAGGTAGAGTAAGAGTAGGTGAGAGCGAGTGAGACTTGTGGGACGGCAGTGACGACGGGCGTGCCTTCCAACCACGAACAACAGCCTCACCTGATGGAAGTCGCGACTGTCGAGATCTCAAATGCCAAGACTCTCCGAAAGCGCTAGCGACACCCATGAACCTTGAAACGAACAGCCTTCCCCGCCCGGCGCGCTGACTTTCATCGGCCTGCAGACGGCCTGCAGTGCGTTATGCTCCAGGAATAGCCTGCCATGTACCGAGGATGCTGAGGG